AAGCAAAAGAACCGAACAGAGAGAGAGAGAGAGAGGATAGAGAAAAGACCGAAATAGAGAGAGAGAGAGAGAGAGAAGAAAAGACCGAAACAGAGAGAGAGAGAGAGAGAGAAGCAAAAGACCGAAAGAGAGAGAGAGAGAGAGGATAGAGAAGCAAAAGACCGAACAGAGAGAGAGAGAGAGGATAGAGAAGACGAAAAGACCGAACAGAGAGAGAGAGAGAGAGAAGATAGAGAATCAAAAGACCGAACAGAGAGAGAGAGAGAGAGAGAGAAGCAAAAGACCGAACAGAGAGAGAGAGAGAGAGGATAGAGAAGCAAAAGACCGAACAGAGAGAGAGAGAGAGAGAAGAGAAGCAAAAGACCGAACAGAACAGAGAGAGAGAGAGAAGAGAGATAGAGAAGCAAAAGACCGAACAGAGAGAGAGAGAGAGAGAGAGAACGCAAAAGACTGAACAGAGAGAGAGAGAGAGAGTGATAGAGAAGCAAAAGACCGAACAGAGAGAGAGAGAGAGAGAGAACATAGAGAATCAAAAGACAACAGAGAGAACAGACCGAGAGAGAGAGAGAGAGAAGCAAAAGACCGAACAGAGAGAGAGAGAGAGAGAATAAAGACCGAACAAAGAGAGAGAACAGAGAGAGAAAGACCAAACAATAGAGAAGAAAAAAATCACCGAACAAAGAGAGAGAGAGAGAGAGGATAGAGAAACAAAAGACCGAACAGAGAGAGAGAGAGAGGAGAGAGAAGCAAAAGACCGAACAGAGAGAGAGAGAGAGAGAGGATAGAGAAGCAAAAGACCGAACAGAGAGAGAGAGAGAGAGAGATAGAGAAGCAAAAGACCGAACAGAGAGAGAGAGAGAGAGCAAAAGACCGAACAGAGAGAGAGAGAGAGGAGAGAAGCAAAAGACCGAACAGAGAGAGAGAGAGAGAGTGACAGAGAAAGACCGAACAGAGAGAGAGAGAGAGAGAGAAGGAAGAAACAGAGAGAAAAGACCGAACAGAGAGAGAGAGAGAGAGAGGATAGAGAAGCAAAAGACCGAACAGAGAGAGAGAGAGAGAGAAGATAGAGAAAAAAGACCGAACAGAGAGAGAGAGAGAGAGAGAGAGAATCAAAAGACCGAACAGAGAGAGAGAGAGAGAGGATAGAGAAGCAAAGACCGAACAGAGAGAGAGAGAGAGAAGAAAGACCGAACAGAGAGAGAGAAAAGAGAGAACAGAGAGAAACAGAGAGAGAGAGAGATAGAGAAGCAAAAGACTGAACAGAGAGAGAGAGAGAGAGTGATAGAGAAGCAAAAGACCGAACAGAGAGAGAGAGAGAGAGTGATATGAAGCAAAAAGACCGAACAGAGAGAGAGAGAGAGAGTGATAGAGAATCAAAAGACCGAACAGAGAAAAGACCGAACAGAGAGAGAGAGAGAGAGAGAGAGAGAGAGAAGCAAAAGACCGAACAGAGAGAGAGAGAGAGATAGAGAATCAAAGAGAATCAAAAGAGAGAGAGAGAGAGAGAGAGAACAGAGAGAGAGAGAAGCAAAAAGACCGAACAGAGAGAGAGAGAGAGAGGATAGAGAAGCAAAAGACCGAACAGAGAGAGAGAGAGAGATAGATAGAGAAGAGAAAGACCGAACAGAGAGAGAGAGAGAGAGAGGATAGAGAGAAGAGAGAGAGAGAAAAAAGACCGAACAGAGAGAGAGAGAGAGAGAGAGAGAGAGATAGAGAAGCAAAAGACCGAACAGAGAGAGAGAGAGAGGATAGAGAATCAAAAGACCGAACAGAGAGAGAGAGAGAGAGATAGAGAAGCAAAGACCGAACAGAGAGAGAGAGAGGATAGAGAAGCAAAAAGACCGAACAGAGAGAGAGAGAGAGAGTGATAGAGAAGAAAAGAAACAGAGAGAGAGAGAGAGAGAGATAGAAAGCAAAAGACCGAACAGAGAGAGAGAGAGAGAGAGGAGAGAAGCAAAAGACCGAACAGAGAGAGAGAGAGAGAGAGATAGAGAAGCAAAAGACCGAACAGAGAGAGAGAGAGAGAGATAGAGAAGCAAAAGACCGAACAGAGAGAGAGAGAGAGAGAGAAGATAGAGAAGCAAAGACCGAACAGAGAGAGAGAGAGAGAGAGAGAGAGAAGCAAAAGACCGAACAGAGAGAGAGAGAGAGAGGATAGAGAAGCAAAAGACCGAACAGAGAGAGAGAGAGAGAGAGATAGAGAATCAGAAAGAAAACAGAGAGAGAGAGAGAGGAGAGAACAGAGAAAAGACCAACAGAGAGAGAGAGAGAGAGAGAGAGAGAAGCAAAAGACCGAACAGAGAGAGAGAGAGAAGCAAGATAGAGAAGAAAAAGACCAAATGAAAAGAGAGAGAGAGAGAGAGAGAGAGAGAGCAAAGACCGAACAGAGAGAGAGAGAGAGAGATAGAGAAGCAAAAGACCGAACAGAGAGAGAGAGAGAGAGGATAGAGAAGCAAAAGACCGAACAGAGAGAGAGAGAGGATAGAGAATCAAAAGAGAACAGAGAGAGAGAGAGACCGAAGAAGCAAAGACCGAACAGAGAGAGAGAGAGAGATAGAGAAGCAAAAGACCGAACAGAGAGAGAGAGAGAGAGAGGATAGAGAAGCAAAACTGAACAGAGAGAGAGAGAGAGAGGATAGAGAAGCAAAAAGACCGAACAGAGAGAGAGAGAGAGGATAGAGAAGCAAAAGACCGAACAGAGAGAGAGAGAGAGAGAGGATAGAGAAGCAAAGACCGAACAGAGAGAGAGAGAGAGAGAATAAAGAAGAACAAAGAGACCGAACAGAAGAGAGAGAGAGAGAGGATAGGAGAAGCAAAAAGACCGAACAGAGAGAGAGAGAGAGAGAGGAGAAGCAAAAGACCGAACAGAGAGAGAGAGAGAGGATAGAGAATCAAAAGACCGAACAGAGAGAGAGAGAGAGAGAGAGATAGAGAAGCAAAGACCGAACAGAGAGAGAGAGAGAGATAGAGAAAAGAGAAGCAAAGAGAGAGAGAGAGAGAGAGAGAGAAGAAAAGACCGAACAGAGAGAGAGACCGAAGAGAAGCAAAAGACCGAACAGAGAGAGAGAGAGAGTGATAGAGAAGCAAAGACCGAACAGAGAGAGAGAGAGAGAGATAGAGAAGCAAAAGACCGAACAGAGAGAGAGAGAGAGAGAGAGGATAGAGAAAAAGAGACCGAACAGAGAGAGAGAGAGAGATAGAGAAGAGAGGATAGAGAAGGAAAGACCGAACAGAGAGAGAGAGAGAGAGAGATAGAGAAGCAAAAGACCGAACAGAGAGAGAGAGAGAGGAGAGAAGCAAAAGACCGAACAGAGAGAGAGAGAGAGAGAGAGATAAGAAGAAAGACCGAACAGAGAGAGAGAGAGAGAGATAGAGAAGCAAAAGACCGAACAGAGAGAGAGAGAGAGAGGATAGAGAAAGAGAAGCAAAGACCGAACAGAGAGAGAGAGAGAGAGTGATAGAGAAGCAAAAGACCGAACAGAGAGAGAGAGAGAGAGAGATAGAGAAGCAAAAGACCGAACAGAGAGAGAGAGAGAGAGAGATAGAGAAGCAAAAGACCGAACAGAGAGAGAGAGAGTGATAGAGAAGCAAAAGACCGAACAGAGAGAGAGAGAGAGAGTGATAGAGAAGCAAAAGACCGAACAGAGAGAGAGAGAGAGTGATAGAGAAGCAAAAGACCGAACAGAGAGAGAGAGAGAGTGATAGAGAATCAAAAGACCGAACAGAGAGAGAGAGAGAGAACAGAGAGAGAGAGAATAGAAAGCAAAAGACCGAACAGAGAGAGAGAGAGAGAGATAGAGAGAGAGAAGACCGAACAGAGAGAGAGAGAGAGGATAGAGAAGCAAAAGACCGAATAGAGAGAGAGAGAGAGTGATAGAGAATCAAAAGACCGAACAGAGAGAGAGAGAGAGTGATAGAGAATCAAAAGACCGAACAGAGAGAGAGAGAGAGAGTGATAGAGAAGCAAAAGACCGAACAGAGAGAGAGAGAGAGAGTGATAGAGAAGCAAAAGACCGAACAGAGAGAGAGAGAGAGAGATAGAGAAGCAAAAGACCGAACAGAGAGAGAGAGAGAGAGAGTGATAGAGAAGCAAAAGACCGAACAGAGAGAGAGAGAGAGAGATAGAGAAGCAAAAGACCGAACAGAGAGAGAGAGAGAGAGTGATAGAGAAGCAAAAGACCGAACAGAGAGAGAGAGAGAGAGATAGAGAAGCAAAAGACCGAACAGAGAGAGAGAGAGAGAGATGAGAGAAGCAAAAGACCGAACAGAGAGAGAGAGAGAGAGGAGAAGCAAAAGACTGAACAGAGAGAGAGAGAGAGAGTGAGAGAATCAAAAGACCGAACAGAGAGAGAGAGAGAGAGAACAAAAAGAGAACAGAAGAGAAAGAAGCCGAACAGAGAGAGAGAGAGAGGGAGGATAGAGAAGCAAAAGACCGAACAGAGAGAGAGAGAGAGAGAGAGAGAGAAGCAAAAGACCAACAGAGAGAGAGAGAGAGAGAGAAGCAAAAGACAGACAGAGAGAGAGAGAGAGAGATAGAGAAGCAAAAGACCGAACAGAGAGAGAGAGAGAGAGTGATAGAGAAGCAAAAGACCGAACAGAGAGAGAGAGAGAGAGTGATAGAGAAGCAAAGACCGCACAGAGAGAGAGAGAGAGAGGATAGAGAATCAAAAGACCGAACAGAGAGAGAGAGAGAGAGATAGATAGAGAAGCAAAAGACCGAACAGAGAGAGAGAGAGAGATTAGAAGCAAAAGACCGAACAGAGAGAGAGAGAGAGAGGATAGAGAAGCAAAGACCGAACAGAGAGAGAGAGAGAGTGATAGAGAAGCAAAAGACCGAACAGAGAGAGAGAGAGAGTGAGAAAAAGACAAAAGACCGAACAGAGAGAGAGAGAGAGATTGATAGAGAAGCAAAAGACCGAACAGAGAGAGAGAGAGAGGATAGAGAAGAAAAGACCGAACAGAGAGAGAGAGAGAGGATAGAGAAGCAAAATACCGAACAGAGAGAGAGAGAGAGAGATAGAGAAGCAAAGACCGGGAAAGAGAGAGAGAGAGAGAGATAGAGAAGCAAAATACCGAACAGAGAGAGAGAGAGAGGATAGAGAAGCAAAAGACCGAACAGAGAGAGAGAGAGAGAGAGAGAAGCAAAAGACCGAACAGAGAGAGAGAGAGAGAGAAACAAAGGACGAACAGAGAAAGAAAAACAAAAGATCGGAAAGAGCGAGAGAGAAAGAGACAAAAGAAAGAACGAAGAGAGACAGAAACAAGAGAACGAACAGATAAAAAGAGAAACAAAGAATAAACTGTGAGAGGGAAAGAGAGAAACAAAATAACGAACGAAGAGAAATATAGACAGAATAGAAAGAGAGTGTGAATAGAAAGAATCAAGAGTGAGAGAGAGAATAGAAAGAACGGAGAGAGAGAAGAATAGAAAAAAAAAAATGAAGATTGATGAAAGAAAGAGAGAGAATAGACAAAACGAATATATATATATATATATATATATATATATATATATATATATATATATATATATATATATGGTTTCTAGTCGCTGGCCGCTTAAATCCACACCAACTCTGCCCACGCTCTATTCTTGATCTTAGATCAGCTGAAAATCGAAGGTCGTAATATAGCAGCGCTGGTTCAAGCCGTTAAGGAAAAAGAATATCTTCAAGACAAAAAATAAAAAGAAAGATTCATGGGGTAATCTTCGACTGGTTTAAATAGCTCTTGATACAACAAAAAGTAACCCCTCCCGCATCAATCTCTAATAGTGACACTGAGCTTTGTCTGAACTTCTGGAAGAGCTAGGTTCAAAGTTCTTGGAATCAGAAAAATCTGGTGGCAGCTGACGTGGATTCCAGAGTCACTCGATGCGGAATCTCAGCCCAAGTCCCTGGGCTCCCAAAGTTAGCCCAAAACTAACTTGGGGGCCGAAGGGTTCTGGGGATTCGGTGATTTGGGGATTCTCCAATGCTCACATTAATCACAATAAAGATTTTCTTTGTTCCCTATTTCTGCTTTCTTAATCAAATTTTCAAAATTGGAGAATTATCCACTCTCCTTGAGAGTAGTAACGGAGATTGCTCCTCCCTTAACTCAAACCTGCTTCACTTCATATCTCACACCACCACTCCACACAAACGGGGCTAAATTCTACCTCTTCTTCCTTCCTTCTCGGTATTCTAACTCTGCCCACTTCTCAGGGCTGAGCATAACTGTCTTTGAGACAAATCTATTTTTTAAAGTGCGTAGGTGAAAGGGCTTAGTTTATTCTCCTCATTAAAATCAATTCTAAGACTCCTTTTTACTTCTGTCTAGTGAGAACACAAAGCAGATTGTCGTCTTAGGGAAAACATAAACTAGACCACCAGGATAGATTTTCATAATCCTAACTCTCGCAGCAGGTTCATTCTGTTTTCGTTTCTCAATTCGTTTTTGCCAACGAAAATATAATTCCCGTCTGACTCTATTCTCGCCAATGACGTGTTTTTTTTCTAATTTCCCAAGAAAGAGATAAAGCCATTTCCCAATTTGCTTTACCCTGATACCAGATTTTCGATAGATAAAAAAATAAACTCTTGGTGCCTCGTTCAAATTCGTAGCGGGTGAAACAATCCAGATGGCCTTTTTTCACTTCCACATTACCAGGGAAAATGTCTTCCATTCTCCCTATCTCTCTATCTTCTAGTTTGTATTTCATTTTGGGTTTAACCCTTTTTCTGCTTAGAATTAATATTTAACCACCTCACGGCTTCAATGTCACATGTACGAGTACATTTAATTTCAATTTTTAGTGTTATGGAATGTACTAGCGGCAGAAAGAGAAACAGATACTTTTAACGATGACTTAACATTAACACTCTTCTCAGCTTTCACGTAGAAGACAAAATTCAAATGAATGTATAGATTTATATGCTCAGCCGCCTCCAGTAATTGTGTTTATATCTCTTGATATTTCACAATGAGCTACTGCGATCCTTAATTCGATTTCTGCAATTATTTTGCTTGATTTGAATATAAATGCTAGAATTACAGGTAATAAATCCGAAGAATTGTTTCCAATTTAGTTTAACCAGTGCAAGATACGAGAATCACGTTTCACTTCCACACCAGTCTATGACACGAGGTTTCCTATTATGAGCGGGTAATTAGTGATTGTTACCGATTCGTGTCTATTCTAAACAGAGACCAGGATATTGATAAGAAATTGTGAAATATATCGCAGTGAGGTTTAACGGAGAGGCTTTTGTAAAATATTTTATTTCAAATTACAGCTGATTGTATGTATCAGCGGATTTATATCCGTATGGAATTAAATGCTGGACAACGAGAGTGTTCTAAACAAAATTGGTAACTAGAACGACACGTACTTAAAATGAGAAAAAGACATTAATTTCAGGGACGCAATGAGGAAAGAAGGCTTTGAGAAATTGACATTCACAAGGCGCATTGAAGGATAGGCAAGGATTTAACACTGATAGAATATTCATATTCCATATTCCTTATGCAAATCCAACCGCAAATCATTGGATAATTGCAACAAAAGTAACACCAATGAAACAAAAGAAAATATATAAAATTCAACTAACGAAATAAATGTAGCTTAAACGACCACTGTTTAATTAGTAACATTATCTATAGAGCTATAATAAAATTTGATAACCAGCAGAAATACTAGTTGGGCTTGACAAAAACAGAATAGAAACAAAGATTCTACAAACACAAACTGAGCCTGAAGAATGAAATATAAAGAAACAGCTCTCAAAATATTACTGACAGGTAAGAGAGCTTAAAGGAGTTTGACTAGATATACTGAGGGAGGTGGTGGCATGAACTTAATGATACAATGGTAAGGGTTCAAGATGTAACTTTTACCTTTCGGTAAAAAAAAAAATATGGTACAAAATATAAATAACCCGAATTTGATTAAAAGAAGTGAATCAATGATCACATTTAGGCAAAAGTAAATATCTATTGATACATTTTGAACCAGATAGATTTCGGTAATTGCCATTATATCTCAAGTATATATATATATATATATATATATATATATATATAATCGACTCATTTTTTACCATTTTAGTTATTTTTCCGATATGTAAATAGACTACTGCGCTATCTTGCCAGTCGGCTATAAATATTGAGGCATTGCAACGGTCATTGTGCATTGGTACGCGCATGAATAAAACTCAGTTGCATCGAACAGTAAGGAATATATATATATATATATATATATATATATATATATATATATATACACACACACACACACACAAAAGTAAAAGAACGAAGAATAAAATTGCAACATTAATTTAAAAGAGGGCTCAATACATGAGTAGAGTAATAAATATTTATTATACACTCTTACATTACTACATGTAATAACTTACATATTCTAATGTAACAGTTTATAATAAATATATGCTCTAATGTAACAATAATATATATATATATATATATATATATATATATATATATATATATATATAGTTTATGAAAAACTAGGTAATCTGTATGGGGAGGATAAAATCCAGAGAGCTCAATGTAAATCCAGAGGAAATAATTTAAATAAAAACAGACCACTTTAAGGTTCCATGTAATAAATTATTTCACCACAGCCCTTTTTAAAGGACTGCGGATCATCAGACTTTACTTACAAACAAAAAATGAAAAGAAAATTTACACATTTTTGACGGGCCGTATTAAACATATATAAATTAACGAAGTGAGGAAGTGAGGGGAGAGAGAGAAGACATGAGTGAGTTAGCAGATATTGACACATTTAAACGGTTAACTTAACGGAAGTTATATATTGATATCGAAGGGGTAGAGAAGAAAAAACCCATAGAGAGAAAAAGAGAGAAGGAAGTTATGAGAAAAGGTGTCACTAATTTTCGTTGTATAAAAAAAAAAGCCTAGAAACAGACGCTGTTATTTTGTTTTACTTTGAAAGTGTTATTTTGGGGGTTCATAAAGATTATAATGTTTGATATAAATTTGAATGTCTCTAGACTGTCTACAAATAATTTAATTTGATGTTTGTTAGTGATTTAAATTTTGGGGATTTTCTATGAAATAGTCGACTAGAAAAATATTCATAGATATTACATTAAAAGAATAAAATTTTATTTTAAAATATAAGTTTACTTCTAGTAATCTTTATTTTAATCTCTTTAAAAAATTTTATTATTGATTATTAAGTTGATATCTCTATCCGTTTGAATTTTGTTCATGAATTTAACTCGTGACTGTTTCTAGATAGGTAATCTCTTTTACTTAAATTTTAGTTAAGTTAATATGGGGTAATATTTGAAGGTAATATTAAAGATCTTGCTCTGTCAAATTCTGTATCCACACCCATGCAAATATCACATACTTGTACCCACAGAAATAGAAAATAAATTTAAACGAAATAGATGAGTTGGCCAAATGGTTGGCTGAACTTCTGCAGCCAGTATGTGATTTCTTTTCAGTACACAATATCTCTGACTCCTGTTTTTCAAACTTCATCATAAATTTAGATACTGAGTCTGAAAATAAAATGATGCTGTCTTTCGACTTCGTCAGCTTGTATACTAATGTGCCTCTTCATAAGACCATTAATATATGTACTGATATCCTTTATAGAGGTAATTTGGACCCGGCTAGCATTCCTGAAAATTTGTTTTTGGAATGTATGCTTCTGGTGTTGAATTCAGTTTCAACGATATTATGCATGCCCAGACAGATGGTGTTTGCAATGGGTAGTCCTCTGGGCCCTATACTATCCAATATTTTTGTAGGTTATCATGAGTTTGACAAGGTCTGTAAACCCTACGTTTATACGAGGTACGTTGATGACACCTTTTCAATTTTTGATTCCGCCACTGATGCCACTGATATTTTGTGGAACACAATTCTCTCCATCCATCTGTTCAGTTCACTAGGGAGGTTGAGAGTGATGAGACATTTCCCTTTTTAGATGTTCTCGTAGAACGAAAGGATGGTTTTTTTATACCAGCATCTTTCGTAAACCCTTTTGTTCCCAAAGCCCGAAGAATTGGTCTAATTTCTAGCCTTTTTTACGGAACATTTTTATGCAACATGTACCTACCTATTTGCGTTCAAGTAGTCAAAGTTGTGTTTTAAGAACCACTCTGGGAAGTATTTATGCTGCCGAGTATAGTGAAGATTTTTTCCAACTTACATAGTGCTTGCCTGGTTTACCATCTCAGAGTCCTTGAGGTTGCTTGCCTCAGATTTCAACAGCCGAGCCTATGTAAACAAAAGGAGCATTTTATGCGTTCTTTACCTTTGATCGACGGACTGGGAGTGGCCTTTTTTCTATTTTATACTCTTTTGAAAGTTCCCAATTTTTTAGTCGTAAATTTATTTACAATTAAAATTCATTTTAATCGCGTTCCAACTCTCCCTCCTCATTCGTTATTTATCATTAATGTGTCTTGCTTTTGTTTGTATATCACCAACGATTACCTTTTTTATTAGTTTCCATTTTACTGTAGGTGTTTTTATTGTTTCTTTTAAATTCCTAAAATATTTGGATGTACTAAAAATGAATATAAATTAAGATGGAGCCAACATCTGACTCCCTTCAATAATATTAAGTATCGCTACCAAACATCCCTATTCAAAAAAACGAGAACATGTAGATCTTTAAATCACCCATGTCCTTTGTGCCTACATGAAAAGTTATATATTATTAAGTCAGGCCGGATTCAATCTATCTTGTGTCGGACATGATTTACACATTAAATATAGTGAATTCGTTTTTTTTTTTTAGAGAGGAGGGTATGTGAGTCGCATCTGGGTTCCATATCAGCTATTAAATATTTTTGCTTACAGACATACGCATATATATAAGAATAAATATATTTCTTTTCTTCACCGTTCAATATATATCAGTTTCATTTTTCATTTTTTCTAATGAATATATGTTTGTGCTGCTAACCTGTTTTTCTATTTTCTTGAACAATATAATTAATATCAAGAACTCCTATTAAAAAAAGTTAAAGTCAAACTGACATAAACAGAATCCAATGTAATCTTCATGTTTTTGTGGGTTGCTTTTGTTTTTTGTTGTTTTTTTTTTTTGTTTTTCGTATTTTGTATTTTTTTTTTTTTATTATTCATCCATCTTCATTTTGATGAAGCGGCTTCTTTAGAATGGTCATGAACCTACATATTTCGAGATTTATTTTTCATTCCAGACATTTCTTTTTATACAGGGTGTTCCTAATGTCTGTGCACAGGAAATCTCATTCACTAAATAATTTTTTTACCTCCACAGATTAAACATGGTTTTGTCGAAAGGCGAAATAATTTACTTCGTTTTCTGGGGTAAGCTAAAGGAGTAGGCGTAATCAATGAAAATCATAGATGCAACACATGAACGCATAAAGAGTGAATGTGTTAAAATTGGTGGCAATGTGGAGTTATTGCATCGAGTTCACATGAATCTTGCAAAGCGCATCAACCTTTGCATCACAAATACTGGAAACCATATTGAAGATATTTATTAAATTCCAGTTCAATAAAATGTTCAAATTTTCATTTCTTGAAAATATGTCCAGACTTTAGGGACACACTATGTATAGGGTTCTCCTTCAAACTATTTTTTCTGCTAAATCAACAAAGAATAATAATTTTGCCAACCTAGCCGTGGGAATCGAGTATCAAATCTATTGTTTTATTTGAGATACGCTAAAATCAACATCCTCTAGCAAGTCTTTCAAGAAATAAGACTTAAGATAAACCTTTCAAAACAGAAAGTGATCTAGAATTGGAGTGAAAGCAATGATGGTACCCACCCTAAATCCATCATAAAACATCAGGATTTAATAAATATTAAACACTTCAGATACCTCGGTGTATAGATCAGTTATTATAACAAATTTAGTATAAGAGATAAGGAAGTTGAACATAGAATAGGCTATGCTAAAGATAGTTTTTCCCCAAACCACAAATGGCTACAAAACCAAAACATCTTCTACGTCTCATCAGATCGAGACTTTCATGTGAGCCACACATGGCAACAAACCCGTTCAGAAGTATCTAAACTGTCGGTTATATACAAACGCTTTCTAAGATTAAATGGTTAAAAATGGCTTCGCACGAACGAAGACCACACTGTTTGGGACCTTATGGCTTGGCACTACAGAATCACAAACAGAAAACTTTACCAGATAACAGAAACCACATCACTTGAAGACTTTCAACAGGAGAAACAGCTAAAATAGATACCACATGTAACTAGAAGAAAAAAATGACATATGTTGACGTTCCACACTATTTCAAACAAAAGGTTAGTGAGGAAACTCCCATCAATACTGGAAAGAGCAATAACAACAACTGGACTTGAGAAACCTATTTTCCTGAAAATTTATTTCAAAGATTTTATATATTTCAGCCGACAGTAGTACAAGCTGTTCGGTCAATTAATGTCAATTGTTTCCTTATAAGGAAACACCTAATATTACTATTTCATTCTTCAGTCA